CTCAGTAGATGAATGGATCAAGAAAATGAATATACACAAAGGAATGCTAAGCTTCCATCAGAAAGAACAGCATTCATTAGGAAATGGAAAGACCTGATCACTTTTAGAATTAGCACAACCATGGGCCCTGTCAGAGCAACTCAAATACAGCAAGAGGTTTGTATGTGTAGCCTACGTTTAAGGCATGGTTGCTAACCTGATCACTGATCTATTGTTTTTACTATATCATTCTCTCACACACTTTATCTCACAGAGAAAGGTACTGGGAGCTCACCAGCCAGGTGCTGGTAGCTCATGCCTGTATTTATACCAATTCTGGAGACTGAGAGCTAAGGATCTTAGTTCAAAGCCACTGTGGGCAGGAAAGTCCATTAGACTCTTTTTTTTTTTTTTTTTTGTCATGGGGCTTAGGGCCTGAGCACTGTCCCTGCTTTTCTGTTCAAGGCCAGTGCTCTACCACTTTAAGCCACAGCTCCACTTCCAGTGTTCTGGTGGTTAAGTAAGAGTCTCAGGGACTTTCCTGCTCCAACTGGTTTCACACTGAGTTCCCCAGATCTCAGCCTCCTGGGGTAGCTAGGATTACAGGTGTGAGCCACTGGCGCCCACCCTGTAAGACTTTTATCTCCAATTAACTACCAGAAAACCGTAAGTGGAGCTGTGGCTCAAAGTGGTAATGTGCTAGCCTTGAGCCTAAAAGCTCAGGGACAGGGCCCAGGCCTTAAGTTCAAGCCCTACAATGAACGAAAAATACTCACCACCATCACCACCAAAATGAAAAGTGAGTGACAGGCGAGAGATAAACTAGCAAGTGACTTTTAGTCAGTCTGTCTGCCTCATGCCTTCCCTTTTTCCCTCCCTCCAAATGGGTCCATTATCTAAGCTGGTCTCAAACCCCTGGGCTCAAAAAAATCCTCTTATCCTCCCAAGAAGCCAGGACCACAGAAACAAATGCCATCAGGCCCTTTCCTAGAAAGATAATATACAAAGGGCCAAGACTTTAGTTTCTATTTTCTATTTATTTCTGCTACTAATTGCTTCACAAAGGAAAAAAATGTGTGTGTGTGTGTGTGTGTGTATAGATATGTATGTATGTGTATCTGTATGTATAATACATATACAGATACATGTATATGTATATGTATATATACATTTCTGCAGTCATTATGATTCTGTCCACCTACATACTAACAGTTATACTTTGACTCATACATAAAAAGATCAAGGAAAAGCCAATGAAAAGATCAGTGGAAAATAAAATCCAGAGTACAGTTAATATAATTATATAATTCTTTCAAACACCAACCAACTTTTGACCTTGTGAATTTCAATTATGAATCAAGTCACTTAAAACTATGCAATTAAAATATAAATGAACATGCTGAATCTTAAGGTATTTTCATTCTAGTTTATTAACCCAGAGTACACTATAACAGAATAATAGGCACAGGGAAAGAAGATCATCAGGAGATCACAGAACATAAAACCTGTACACTCTTGAACTTGTCCACATTGCATATTGGTTAAGAGTGAGTGCAGGACTTTTTAGAGAAATGGCTAATTCAAATCTGGTTTGCTACATGTATATTATAAACCTGAAATAGCTTGTCATAGAAGGAGAACAAGAAGCTATTAATAAAGGCTACAAACATCTTACTTATCTAAAGGATTCAAGAACTATCACAAAAAGTCTCTCTCTGGTCAATCCTAGAGCATTCTAAGCATTTATCTTCCCTTTCCTGAACAAACTGTACCAAAATATTAATGAGGTAAAAATTGTTCAATAAATTAAATTATAAATAAATGAAAGTCTCAGTATAAACATTTGGCCATTCATACTGAAATAAAAGACTCAAGAAATGAACACCAAACATTTCTGAAATAGTAAGTTTCCTGGGAATGAGTTTATAATAAATGGATAAGAGTAGCAATATCATGATCCATTGATCAGTTTGAAAATCATGAAAAGAACCCAAGTGCCTCATGATTCACTATTATAGGAGGTACATATCATCACTTATGCAATATTTCCCACCAAAACTGAAAATGAATCTGATGATGAAAGAAATATGGGGAACAGAGGAGCATATTAAAGAACACCACGGTGTTATACTCAATCAAATGCAGAATGGGAAATCTTACAGGAAGGTGATCTACTGTGCCAACAAATTTTAAGGAAAAGGAGAGTGAGAGAGAGTGCCTATAGACTAACATATATGTCATATATTAACCAAAGACAAAATGTGACCTTTCTTTAGATCCTAACTCTAATTAACCAGTTGTTTTTAAAAATAAAAAAAAAAGGGTAAAAAGGAAGTAAGGGAAGGGAATCAGGGAGATTTGAATATTGACCAGTGAATGGATGTCATTAATTGTGAATGAGTTTTTAATCAGGTTTTAACTTTTGTAGATAACAAGTATTTATGGATGAGTCCATCTCATTCATGGCTTTAAATATATGTTATTGACTCCCCAAATCAAATGTCTAACCTCAATAGTTCCTCTCAACTTCTTACTTATATTCTATGCCTATCTGAGGTCTTCATTTGTATGTCAGCCAAGAACTTCCCAAGAAAGAATCTAGATCCTCATTAGAAGCCACTCCTTACCCAAGGATATCTCTCTCAGTAGGTGATAAGGCCTTTTGTCTGGTTGTTCCAGCCCCAATTATAGCATCAGCTTTAACTTTCCTTTTTTCAGTCCCCATAGTCAATCTAGCAGAAAACCCAAAGGCCTACCTTTAGTTCCATCTCCTTAGCATTTCTACAGTTACAACACAAACCCAAGCAACCTTTAGCTCCTTGCTGAACTACTACAATAACTGATATAATGATTTCTGACTTAAAACATAAATCAGATCGTGTCATTCTCCTAAGGGCTTTTCAGGCTCCTTTTACTGCTGGTGCCACAAGACCTTGTCAAATCTGACCTTATCTATTTTTCCACCCTCATTTTTTATAACTTTTCCCTTTACAAGCCACACTCCTACCCTAGAGATATCCTTGAGAACACTACAATCTTCTATCTTAGAGCTTTTGTCCTTGCTGTTCCTCTAGCTACAAAGCTCTCTGCTTAACTCTTTACAGAACTCAGCCTCTGATTTTGGTCTCTGCCCAAATATCTACCCTTTAGAGAGGCTTCCCTAACCACATTAACTAAAATGGCTTTCTCACTGATCATTCCAAGCATGGTTTAGATTTTCTATAATCCAGAAACTATCATTTATCACACAATCATCTCACATCTTAGCCAGTTACAGGCAAGAGTAATTTCTTCCTAATTGAAAGCCTCAAGGCAATTAAACTGGAGTAAAAAGAAGGGTCCCAAGGAAATTGAATGTACACTGTCCTGCTTAACTAAAGACTTTAAAAACTCCTCTGATTTCTCCATAGACCTGAGAGAGAAGCAGTTGACTACACTTACTATTCTGAGTGCATGCTCAGTGGGAATAGTTCTTCCTCAGAGATGTATGTTACTCTCTCACCTAAACAGAAACAGTGAACAAACTGAATCACTGGGTCACACAGAAGTTTTCACTGTATCTTCTTCCATAAACTGGGTAGAGTGGACATCATATAAACGTTTCTAATAAAAATAAAAAGTAAAAACAGACAGCACTGGAGAGTGCTGATAGAAAACAACTTCCACCTGTCATCTGAAGGCTCAAGATACAACTCACTACAATACTTATTTATATCATTCCCATAGCACGCACGCACACACACACATGCACGCGCACACACATACAGAGAGAGAGAGAGGTTTTTGTCAGCTATATCCTGCAGCTAACTTCACCAAAGATAAATCTGCAATGCACCTTTGCTTTTCTTTTAGAAGGTAAAAGTGGGCAAGAAAATGGTGTGTTTGTGTGATGAGAGAAAAAGGCAATGTTGTTTATCCATTAATGGGCAATCTTATGCTCTGTAGCATATGGAACTGCTATCTAACCTCTGTAGAAGGAGCCATGGGATTTTTAAATTAATTTTTGTGTGTGCCAGTAATGGGGCTTGAACTCAGCTAGGAAGCTTTCCTTTAGCTTTTTCATGCAATGATGGCATGCTACCACTTAGTTGAGCTACAGCTCCACTTCTGGCTTTTTGTTGGTTAACTGGAGATAAAAATCTCACAGACTTTGCTGCAAGGGCTGGCTGTAAACTGTGATCCTCAGATCTCAGCCTCCCGAGTTGCTAGGATTACAGGAGTGAATCACTGTCACCCAGCGTAGTTTGGTATCTTTAAAATGACAACAATATCATAAAAATAGTTGTCGGAATAAAGATAATACATAAAAAGATGTTAAGTGCCTGGAACATCATAAGAGTATAACAAATTACTATTCTTCATCCTCCTCCTCCTCATCATGATGGAAGACTTTAAACCCTGAAGGAAAATCTAAAGCAAGAGGAAAGAAAGGAGGATCAAAATTAATCACAAGGCTTTGAACTCAGATAAAAGAAACAGCAGGGAACAGTTCAATAGGAGGGAAAACATTTGGTCTTAAAACCCAGAATATCTGAGGCTGGGAAGGTGGCTCAGTGGTAGAGCGATTGCTTTGCATGCCTGAGGCCCTGGGTTCGATTCCTCAGCACCACATAAGCAAAGAGAAAAAAGCCGGAAGTGGCGCTGTGGCTCAAGTGGTAGAGCACTAGCTTTGAGCTGAAGAGCTGAGGGAAATTAACCAGTTGTTTTTAAAAATAAAAAAAAAAAAAAAAAAAAAAAAAGAAAAGAAAAATTTTAAGATAAACCATCAACACAAAGCAAAGCCCATTAGAAACAAGACAACAGCAACTACAGCCCACACAAACCACTGTGCATCACTTCTATTCTCTCTCATGAATAGCAGCTGAAAGCCTATCAGAATTTCCCTATCATAAAACCTGCCATAGGTGAGACATTGTGATCATACCAATCGTACTGTGTGACTTACTGTCACAAAAAGAGGATCCTAACCCTCAAAACAATCATTTGCTAAAACAAAGGTCAGGTAAAAACTCAGCACTCACCTTTGTCAGGAACACAAACTGAGAGCTTCTTAACACCATCTACCAGCACATTCTTTGTGTTCCCATGTCTATCTTCTGAGTCACTGTCATTGAATTGAGCCTCTATAATGACATCAGGACTGTCATTACAGCCTTTGAGGGACTGCTGAGGGAGCTCCTCTGGAAGATCAGATTCATAGGGAGCTTCTGTTTCTTTTTCACTGCTCTCCGGTTTAATCACCTAAGGAAAAGAGATAGAAAATTTCTACTTCATCACTGACAGAAGGTAGGGCAGTAGATTATTCTTTTTTATGGAAGGAACTACACATTCAGAAAATGACATTAAATATTCACCACAAAGTCTGAAAAAGGACCTTCATTTTCCAAAGTACATAGACTAAACTATAGAGATAATCAAGCCATCAATGTCAGACTGGTACTTGGTTCTTTTTTTTTTT